AAAATTAGCTGGATGTGGTGTGTGTGCGCCTGTGTTCCCAAAGGATTGCTTGAGCCTGAGAGGTCAAGGCTGCAGTGAGCTGAGGTTGTGCCACTGTGCTCCAGTCTGGTTGACAGAGTGAAACCCTGTCCTAAAAAATAAATAAATAAGGCTGGGCGTGGTGGCTCATGCCTGTGATCCTAGCACTTTGGGAGGCCAAGGTGGGCGGATCATCTGAGGTCAGGAGTTCGAGACCAGCCTGACCAACATGGTGAAACCCCATCTCTACTAAAAATACAAAAATTACCTGGGCATGTGGTGGACACCTGTAAGGAACGGCACATCTGCTGTGGGCTCTTGGCCAGCAAGAGGGTCCCAACCTGGATAGGGGAGTGCGTGGAAGAAAAGATTAAAGAACAGACGGGGTCTGGAGGGTTGAGAAGTCAGTGCTTCACCAACAACTTTATTGTGCTCAGGGTCTGGTTATATACATTTCAATCAGGCTGACTTGCCTCAGCTAAAAGGATGTTTCCATGAGATAATGGGGAACAGAAAGTTTCAAAGTAAAATGACAAGCTACCTTACATCGGATAGGAACAATGGAAAAAACCAGGTGGTAGTCATTATCTGGGTAGGGGGACATATGTTTATCTAGGTTAGAGAGTCACAAGCAAGGTCATAAACGTGTTTATGTAAAAACTAAAGAATGAACTAAAAATGGACACAATGTATCTCACGGCCATGAGGCCACCTGGTAATCATAAATCGTTTATTAAAAGTTTTTCTTTAATGTAACCTTTCTTTCAGCTCTTAGTTTCCCATAGCTTGACTTCCTCCAACAGGAGGCCTGTGTCTGAGCTCAAGCTCATCATAAGGTGAGACCTAGTTTACAAGGGGCCTCACGTGGGAGCGTTCCCCACAGGCACCTATAATCCCTGCTACTCGGGAGGCTGAGGCAGGAGAATCTCTTGAACCCGGGAGATGGAGATTACAGTGAGCTGAGATTGTGCTATTGCATTCCAGCCTGGACGACAGAGCCAGTCTCCATCTCCAGGAAAAAAAAAAAGGTCACTTTTCCAATGTACTTATTAAGGCTTTTCTCCCCAATCATTGTAGCTTAGGAAAAGATGGTCTATTTAGAAACTAAATCCAAATGTTTGGATTTATTTTGGTAGCTATTTAAAGCTATTACTATAACTATACAGCCCTAGATTATGTAACTCTATTGCCAATGTGCTGTAATCTCAATCTATTGGAGCATTTAATTTTAGAATTACGATTTTACATGATACAGTTTTGCATTTCATATTCCATGCCCTTTCCTGGAGTACACACCACAGTGTTTTGAGGTGTGAAGGTGTCCAGTTTAAAGAGCCACAATTCATAGAGAATGATTAAAGCTTTGAGTTTTTCCACTTGGGTTTCATGTTTAATTTTTAAGATAGAAGTAAATTTAGTCATAACACTAGTAGCTCTTATTTTTGTAACTTCCTGGAATTACAGACGGGAAGTTTATTTACATTTTATGAGTGGAATTTTTTAGTCTTACTCTGCACATAATTTTGTTGACATTTTCCAAGAAGAATGACTTTAAAATGAAATTAGTTAAATTCTACTGATTTGGAATTGATCCTTGGCAGATCAGTTGCTAAAATCATTATCTGAATACATCAAATACATTGTTACTTTTGTTACTTTTAGCCTTACAACTCTCAAGTGAGATAAGCCATTTTATGGATGACCTCTTGTGAGTTATAGAGCATGACTGGTCTAAGGGCTAACAGCTAGGAAGGAAAACAACTGTAATGTGTACATAATTGTAACCACCTCAACTTTGTTTCTTTTATCTACAAGTTGCTTTCTGCTGGGTCTCTTAGGCTTTAAGGTTTGGGTGCATCTATTGAGCTGTGGCTAGTGAAAGTAAGTAGTGTAACAGTTCCAGTGATCATAGATCTGAGAGCCAAGCCCTTTGGCTCTCTCTTTAGTATTGGGAGCTCTTGAAAGTGTTCCCTACCTTGACTACTGCTGTATATTTATCCTACAAACCATTTTGTGGATTTTTTTTTCCCTGTATATGCGGATAAATTACGTTACATTTTTTGGTGCTGGGGGGCAGGCAGGATCTTACTCTGTGGTACAGACTGGAGTGCAGTGATGTGATCATAGCCCACTGCCCCTTTGAACCCCTGGGCTCAAGGGAATCCTCCTGCCTTAGCCTCCTGAGTATCTGGGACCACAGATGTGAACTGCCATGCTTGGCTATTTTTTATTTTTGTTTTTTGTAGAGGTGGGATCTCACTCCACAGCATGGACTGTTCTCAAACTCTTGGGCTTAAGTGATCCTCCTGCCTTGGCCTCCCAAAATATGGGGATTACAGACACGAGCCACCATACCCGGCCTAACTTATAGTACTTTTCTAATGCTGTGGGTGTTTCCCTTCCATTATAAAAATTATGTAAATGTTTGTTATAGGCTTTTAAAGAAAGTATTTAGAAGAAAATCAAAATTATCCATCATTTCACTACCCAGAGAGAACTGATAGATTCCCTATTTATTTGTATGTATTATATAAACACAGTTGAGTTGATTAGATTTATAACCAGCTCCCACTTCTTTGCACTTGACATTTTCTCATGTCATTACAAAGTCTTTCACTTCATGGCAAATGATTATAAATGATTTAGCCATTTGGACATACTGTAATTTATTTAATTCCTCTATTATTGTATATTTAGATTGGTTCTGGAGACTCCTAACTGGAGTCATTAAGTTTAGCTGCTTACTTTATGCCTAATTATTCTTGGATATCAGAGCATGGGTGCACCTTTTAGAGAGTACAGTCAAATGAAAAGGCACTGGGGCTGGGCACGGTGGCTTATGCCTGTAATCCCAGCACTTTTGGAGGCCAAGGTGGGCAGATATCTTTGAGCTCAGGAGTTTGAGACCAGCCTGGGCAACATGACGAAACCATGTTTCTACAAAAATACAAAAATTAGTCAGGCATGGTGGCTCATGCTTGTAGTCTCAGCTACTTGGGAGGCAGAGGCTGGAGAATCGCTTGAGCCCAGGAAGCGGAGGTTGCAGTGAGTCAAGATCATGCCTCTGCACTCTAGCCTGGGCGACAGAGTGAGACCCTGTCTCAGTAAGAAAAATTTTAAAAAGCTACTGGAAGTAGTGGAAGGAGATGCCAAGGAGTGGCCTAACCTCTTTCTCTGTTCCTTTGACTGACACAAACTTTTTCATTTTGGGAGGATACTCAGGGGCAGATAGGGGTTAGGCAGCTTGCCCAGAGTCTTGGAGTGGGACCTCACCTCAAGGCAATAGAAGATCATTTAGAACATTGTATTTAATCATTTTGTTTTGTTTTGTTTAGAGTCAGGGGTCTCACCTTGTTGCCCAGGGCATGATCATAGCTCACTGTAACCTCGAACTCCTGGACTCAAGGGATCCTCCTGCCTCAGCGTCTCCAGTAGTTAGAGGACTACAGGCGTGAACCATTGTGCCCAGCTCCTTCTTTCTTTTAATATTAAAAATATCCTTGAGCTCACATGAACTATAAGGAAATTAAATTAAAAAAAGAAAAAAAAATCCTCTAGCACTTTTGCTTATAGGTCTAAATATGTCTCGCATTTTTTTAAGGAATAGATCCCTGGAAATTCATTTTTTTAAGTGAAAGCAAGTTTATTCAAAAGTAAAGGAATAAAAGGGTGGCTACTCCATAGATACAGCAGCCCAGAAATTGAATTTCTGTGTCAAATGCTCTTGATGAACATGGCTAGATTGTCTTCCTATAATATTATACTAATTTTTACTTCTTTCAGTAGCATATGGGAGTTCAGGAACCATTATACTCTAAGCTACACTGAGCACAATCTTTTTTAACTATGCAAACGTTTTCTTGCCTTAATTACATTTCTTTTCTTTTTTTTTTTTTTTTGTGACGGAGTCTCACTCTGTTGCCAGACTCGAGTACAGAGGCGTCATCTTGGCTCACTGCAACATCTGTCTCCTGGGTTCAAGCAATTGTCGTGCCTCAGCCTTCTGAGTAGCTGGGATTACAGGCACGCGCCACCATACCCAGCTAGTTTTTGTATTTTTGCTAGAGATGGGGTTTTACCATGTTGGTCAGGATGGTCTCGATCTCTTGACCTCGTGATCTGCCCATTTAGGCCTTCCAAAGTGCTGGGGTTATAGGTGTGAGCCACTGTGCCCAACCATTTGTTTTACTTTATTTGAGATGGAGTATTGCCCTGTTATCCAGGTTGGAGTGCAGTGGTGTGATCTCGGCTCAGCTGCAACCTCTGCCTCCTGGATTCAAGCGATTCTCCTGTCTTAGCCTCCTTAGTTGCTGGGATTACAGGCATCTACCACCATGCCAGCTAATTTTAAAAATATTTTTGATATAGGCGAGGTTTCACCATGTTAGCCAGGCTGGTCTTGAACACCTGACCTCATGCCATCCGCCCTCCTTGGCCTCCCAAACGGCTGGGATTACAGGCGTGAGACACTGCGCCTGACCAATTACATTTCTAATATTACTAGTAGGATTGAACTTTTATTTCTTAAGTTGAATAGCCATTTCATTTCTTCTGAGTTGTCTGTTTATTTTATTTCCTTTGCTCATTTTTTCTATAAGAGTGAGTGATTTTCAGCTGGACATGGTGTCTCACATCTGTAAGCCCAGCTCTTTGGGAGGCTGAGGTGGGCGCATCACCTGAGGTGAGGAGTTCAAGACCAGCCTGACAATACGGTGAAATCCTGTCTTTAAAAAAAAAAGAATGAGTGATTTTCTTATCAGTTTTTGTAAGTTCTTTCTATTAAGATATAATCTGTTCTCCAAGATTTTTTTTTTAAAGGACTACCTAATCACTTTAACATAATTACCAATCCAATTTTCTGGTGTCAACTAGGTCATGAGATTTTTCTCACAAGGGCTGATTATATGGTGACTATAAATAATTCAGCTTTCGGATAATCTGCCTATGCCTAATAATGTCCATAACGTGTTTCGTCTTTCCAGAAAGAAGAAATGATGTAAATCACTCACTCTCCAAACTTTAAGGTCAAAGGTGAGAAGGGAGGTCAGGAAGAACATGGCCTGGCCAAATGCTTTTCAGCGAGGATCTCTGCTGTCCCGTTTCAGCCATCATCACGTCGTAGTGTTCCTGCTCACCTTCTTCAGGTAAGCACATTGCTAAAGCTAAAGCTGCTCTCCTGCTTGTGTTTTTTTCTTTTTCTTTTGAGGGAGATACTGCATGGCAAGTGTCAAATGCATTGACGGGCATACAGTTGTGGTGAAATAGATTAGTTATTCCTTCTATTTTAGTCTTGATAGCTCTAACATAGTAGTTCTTGAGGGCTATTTTGCCCTCCCGAGGACATTTGGCAGTGTCTGAGACAGTTTTGGTTGTCACAGCGGGGGAGGGGAGACCAGGGATGCTACTAAGCATCCTCCCATGTACAGGACAGATCTCTACAACAAAGAGCGTTTTGGCTCCAAATATCAATAGTGTGGAGGGAGAAGCCCTGTTCTGTTTTTTTTTTTTTTTCTTTTTATTACTTTTGTACTTTTAAAAAAAAACCAAAAAACAACATGTCTCACTTCTTTTTGTCACCCTGTTTGGAGAGAAGCCCCGTGCCTCCTTGAGCAGTAAAGATGATAGAGGCGGGCCGGGCGCGGTGGCTCACGCCTGTAATCCCCACACTTTGGGAGGCCGAGGCGGGTGGATCACGAGGTCAAGAGATCGAGACCATCCTGGTCAACATGGTGAAACCCGTTTCTACTAAAAATACAAAAATTAGCTGGGCATGGTGGTACACATCTGTAGTCCCAGCTACTCGGGAGGCTGAGGCAGGAGAATGGCTTGAATCTGGGAGGCGGAGGTTGCGGTGAGCCGAGATCGCGCCATTGCACTCCAGCGGCAATTGTAAGGAACCTGTCTTAGTAGCGCTTTCGTGGCTCGTCAGTATGACTGACTGAAGAGATTATCCACGCTTGCGATTTGGTGGCCCCAAGCGGTTCTCTTGGTAACATAGCATACATCAGGCCATTGGGTGTTGAGGCATGCTGCAAGTGACCCTGTTACTCAACTTTTTGGATATTTCTGCTGAGAAGATTTTGTTTGTTATTAATCTTTATGAAAGGCACCATAAATAAATATTTATTTATTTATTTGAGATGGGATCTCACCCTGTCACCCAGGTTGGAGTGCAGTGGTGTGCTCATGGTTCACTGCAGCCTCAAACTCCCAGGATCAAATGATCTACCTGCCACAGCCTGTTGAGTAGCTGGGACCAGAAGCATGAGCCATCATGCCTGGCTTTTTTTTTTTTTTTTTTTATTTGTGGAGATGAGGTCTTCTTATGTTGCCCAGTCTGGTCTTGAACTCCTGGGCTCAAGCAGTCCTCCTGCCTCAGCCTCCCAAAGTGCTGGGGCTACAGGTGTGAGCTACCATGCTTGGCTCATCCTTTTTTTTTTTAAAGAGAAGAATTATTGGCCAGGCACGGTGGCTCATGTCATCCCAGCACTTTGGGAGGCTGAGGCAGGGGCGTCACCTGAGGGTAGGAGTTTGAGAACATCCTGGCCAACTTGGTGAAACCCCGTCTCTACTGAAAATGCAAAAATGAGCCAGGTGTGGTGGCAGATGCCTGTAATCCCAGCTACTTGGGAGGCCGAGGCAGGAGAATGGGCTTGAACCCAGGAGGTGGAAGTTGCAGTGAGCTGAGATCTTGCCACTGCACTCCAGCCTGGGTGACAGAGCAAGACGAGCAAGACTCTGTCTCAAAAAAAAAAAAAAGAAGAAGAATTCTAAAATTGAATAAACACCCGGTTTGGTGGCTCATGCCTACAATCCCAGCTATTTGGGAGGCCAAGGAGCATCTCTGGAGCCCAGGAGTTTGAGACCATCCTGGGCAACATAGCAAGATTCTGTCTCTATAAAACATGCAGAAATTACCTGAGTAGCTAAGATTACAGGCACACTGGGTATGATAGAGTGCACCTGTAATCCCAGCTACCCAGGCTGGGGTGGGAGGCTTGCTTGAGCCCAGGAGGTCTAGGCTCGTGAGCTGTGATTATAACTGCACTTCACCTTGAGTGACAGAGCGAGATCCTGTCTCAAAAAATAAAAATAAATAAAATTGAGAGAGTCTCTGTGAAGCTATTTTGGTTTAGGGGGCTGCCCCCAAAATAAATAAAATAAAATAGAATAAAAGAAATGGACTTATGCATGTGATTTTATTGAATGCTGTTTCTTTTTGCTATTCATTCCTCTATATTCTATTTTGTAGTTATTCGTTGCTCCATGCTTCACGAAAAACATTTAGCAATGTCAAAGTCAGTATCTCCGAGCAGTGGACCCCAAGTGCTTTTAACACGTCAGTTGAGCTGCCTGTGGAGGTAAGAAGAACAGAGTGCTGGGATGGATTGAAGAAGACCGTGCCCACCCTGGATTCTTCTTAAGTTCTTTTTTGCATCTTTTACTTCCCTAGGACTCTGAAATAGCCCACTGTTTCCTATCACATAAGAGCCAGACTATTTTACTAATTTCAAAGCCTGGTCCAACTCAGGTCCATTTTACTTCTGCAGCCGACTTGCTTCTAACTGTTTTAAAATCACACCTTCTGATGAGGCTATTTTTTCATTAGCTTTCATTAATGCTGTGTTCGTTTCTGTCTTTGAGATTTTGCACATTATCCGTCTTTTTGTTTTTGAGACGGAGTTTCGCTCTTGTTGCCCAGGCTGGAGTGCAATGGTGCAATCTTGGCTCACTGCAACCTCCGCCTCTTGGGTTCAAGTGGTTCTCCTGCCTCAGCCTCCCGTGTAGCTGGGACTACAGGTGTGCGCCACCACGCCCAGCTAATTTTTGTAATTTTTAGTAGAGACAGGGTTTCACCATGTTGGTCAGGATGGTCTTGATCTCTTGGCTTAGTGATCCACTGGCTTTGGCCTCTCAAAGTGCGGAATTACAGGCTTGAGCCACTGTGCTGGGACCAGAATCACAAATCTTAAAGATGGAAGTGGCCTTAGAGCAGTTATGCACCCTAACCTCCCAGGATGGAACTTTCCTTTATCATTCTTGGAAGATAACCATCCAGCTTCTGCTTCAGTAGTTCTAGGCAGAAGAAACTCGCTGTTGTGTGAGGTGGATGCTTAAATTTTTATTCAACTCTGAAGAAAATTCCCCCCTGTCTCCAAAAGTTTCTGTTGAGGCAAAACATTCCTGGCTCCTTCAGCTGTAGTTTAGTTACACCGCACACCAAATGAGGAATTTCAGGTGCATCCTTAACAATATACAGAAAAATAGGATTTGATTTAGGCACTAGATTTCCAGTTTTACTGCCTAAGGCTGCCTTTATTTTTAAGGTAACTGGATTGGGGTTTCCCAAGACCATCCCCAGTTTGGTGATTAGGAGGGCTCAACATAGAGTACGTGTGGCTATGATTTATTCCAGTGAGAGGATGCAAGGTAAACTCGGCAAAGGGAAGAGGCTGGCATGGTGTGAAGTCTGGAGGAGGCCAGGCCAAGCTTCCTAGAGGCCTCTCTCGTTAATTTTTAATTAAAAATTTTTTTCTTTTTTTTTTTTAAATTATTTTTTAAGAGATGGAGCTGTTGCCGTGTTGCCCAGGCCGTACCTGAACTCCTGGGCTCAAATGATCCTCTTGCCTCAGCCTCCTGAGTAGCTGGGACTACAGGTGTGTGCCACCGTGTCCAGCTAAAAAATATTTTGCTTATATATTTTTTAAAACATTTCCAGCCGGGCGCGGTGGCTCACGCCTGTAATCCCAGCACTTTGGGAGGCCAGGGCGGGTGGATCACGAGGTCAAGAGATCGAGACCATCCTGGTCAACATGGTGAAACCCCGTCTCTACTAAAAATACAAAAAATTAGCTGGGCATGGTGGCGCGTGCCTGTAATCCCAGCTACTCAGGAGGCTGAGGCAGGAGAATTGCCTGAACCCAGGAGGCGGAGGTTGCGGTGAGCCGAGATCACGCCATTGCACTCCAGCCTGGGTAACAAGAGCGAAACTCCGTCTCAAAAAAAAAAAAAAAAAAAAAACATTTCCAGCCAGGTGTGGTGGTTCACACCTGTAATCTTAGTGCTTTGGGAGACCAAGGAGGGAGGACTGCTTGAGCCCAGGAGTTTGAGACCAGCGTAGGCAACATGGCAAGACCCTGTCTACAAAAAATTTTTAAAAAGTTGGGAAATTAAAAAGAAAAAATTTCTTTCTTTCTTTTTTTTTGATATGGAGTCTCTATTGCCTAGGCTGGAATGCAGTGGTACGATCTTGGCTCACTGTAACCTCTGCCTCCCAAGTTCAAGCGATTCTCCTGCCTCAGCCTCCTGAGTAGCTGGGACTACAGGTAGGCGCCACCATACCCGGCTAATTTTTGTATTTTTAGTAGAGATGGGATTTTACTATATTAGTCAGGTTGGTCTTGAACTCCTGACCTTGTGATCCACCCACCTCGGCCTCCCAAAGTGCTGAGGTTATAGGCATGAGCCACCATGTGTGGCCAGAGAAACACTCCTTAAGTGCTTTAAATAGAATGCTAAAAAGTACTTTTAAAAAAATATATATATATTTTTTTGTTTTTATAATTGAAAATTCTTGGCTCAAGAGGTGGACAAAAAGTTTTTTATAGCTTTTATTTTTATACATAGCTTGGTTGGGTGTTTTACAAAAAGAATTCAGCAGACACAGTCTCTGTTACCTTTAGAACTTATAATGGAACCACTGACATGGACAAACACTGGAAACAGTAAGGAAACATCAGAACATAAAATCACGTTCTGCACATGTATCTCAGAACTTAAAGTATAATAATAATAAAAAGAAAGATGAGTTGTAAAGGTTTGCCTGCCCAGAAGCTATTTTGTTTCATATTTACATTTTTAGTTCTTTCTCCATCAAGAAAATGATAAGTAAAATGAATGGGGGGAGAAAATCAAAATCTATGTCTATATTAGATAATAATCATTAGATCTAATATTTGAGAACGACTCAGCTAAAAACTGTAATAAAAATTTGTAGTTCTTTTATGAGAATAGTGCTAGAGAATCTAAAATTATCTCCAGGAGAAAGAAGCAGGATTTAAAGTGTCTTGGGTCAGGTGCAAGGCCTCAGGCCTGTAATCCCACCATTTTGAGAGGCCTAGGAAGGAGGATTGCTTGACCCTAGGAGTTTGAGACCAGTCTGGGCAACATAGAGAAACCACTGTCACAACAAAAATGAAAAAATAAAAAAACCACTTTGGGAGGCCTAGGTGGGCAGATCACTTGAGGTCAGGAGTTCAAGACCAACCTGGCCAACATAGCGACACTCTGTCTCTCCTA